TGGCGAGTGCCCGTGCCCTGTAGCGAAAACCTCTCCAAAAAAAAAAAAAAAACACAAAAAACACTGATGTCAGGCTTGGCTTTCTAGAACTTTCTATGTGTATGTGTTGGGACTGTGTAGTGCAGAACACTGCCCAGCCACACTGTGCCAGGGTGACCGGACCCTCTCCCTGCCCGGTGGTCCCGGCTGGCTGGTGGTACCCCACCTTGTTGAGCAGGAACTCGTCCAGGTATTTGAGCTCGTTGGCGTTGGTGATCTTGCGGAACACCGACTCCCGCCACTTCTCGGACACGGTGATTTTGCCGATCTTGAGGTTCCGGTTCTTCTTCCCTTTGCCTCCCGGCTCCTTGGCGTGCTTCTCGCCTGCTGCGTGCCGGTGCTGGTGGCTGGAGGGGGCTGTGGAGGAGAGAGAGGGGACAGTGTGGGCTCTGGGGGAGGACGCTGGACAGCCTCGTTCAGCATGGTCAGAAATGCAGAGGCCTGTGGGACCAGCAGATAGCGTCATGGCTATGTCGCTGGACTCCCATGTAGTCGACCGCGGTTCGCGTCCCGGACCCGGTGGCTTAAACTCATGCAGGGTGCGTGTGCGTGCGTGCCCAAGATCCCGAGAGGAGAATGGAGGAGAAGGGATAGCGGCGTGGCCATCGCCCCTGGGGGGCTTTCTGTCTCTTTGTCTCTCTCTTTCTAGCAAGTGCACACGCCCTACAGCAAAAACCTCTCCAAAAAAATTACTGGGTGGGACCAGCAGATGGCATAATGGTTACATTGCTGGACTCCCATGCAGTTGACTGCAGTTTACATCCTGGACCCGGTGACTTAAAACTCACTCGGAATGCATGAGTGTGTGCCCAAGATCCTGAAAGGAGAAGGGATTTTGGTGGGGCCATCCCCCGTGTAGGGGGAGGTGTAATTTCTAGCTTTCTGTCTTTCTCTCTGGTGAGCACCCAATAGCAAAAAAAGCTCTCTCAAAAAAACCAAACCAAACATACTGGGCGTGTGTGTGTGCATGCCCAAAATCCCAAGAGGAAATGGAGCAGAAGGGATTGTGGTGTGGCCATCCCGCCTCGGGGTGATTTCTCACTTTGCCTCTCTCTTTGTCTTTATAGGCCCCCTATGGCAAAAATCTAAAATTTAAAAAATAAATACATCAAGGAAAAAGGAAAGAAATGCAGAGGCCCCAGCCCTTGGCCACTGCTGACTCACGGCCCCCATGAGCGATGATGAACATTACTGTGGCCCTTGTCGCTCTGTGGCGTTAAGTGACCAACCTTCTAGACTCTTCTTCGTGGTCGCAGCTTCCAGTACGACGTGCCCGGACACAGTGTTCTCTACCTCCTCTACGCCCTCCAGGATGTATTTTTTATCCTTGGTTTTATGCTGGAAGAGTCTCTTGAATGTGGACCTGCGGGAGAAGGTAAGTGGTTTCCGGGCCTGCTGGTGGCGCATGCTGAACGCGTGTGGGAAGGTCCCGGGTTCATGTGCTAAGGGCTCGCTGAGCATGCTGGGTACAAGAGTGTCTGCCCCTTGGGACCAGCAGTTGGCATAATGGCTACATCGCTGGATTCCCATGTAGTAGACTGTGGTTCGAGTCCCGGACCCCGTGGCTTAAACTCACGCCAGGTGCGTGTGCGTGCGTGCCCAAGATCCTGAGAGGAGAATGGAGGAGGAGGGATTGTGGCGTGACCATTCCCCCGGGGGGTGATTTCTCGCTTTCTGTCTCTCTGTCTTTCTGGGAGCGCACGTGCCCTCTAGCAAACATCTCCAAAAAAAAAAAAAAGCACCAGGGGCTGGCAGATGGCGTACTGCTTAAGGGTGCTGGCCTTCCACACGGCCGGCTACGGTTTGAGTAGCACACCTGGCGGGTTGCTTTGTCACTTTCCCTCCCTCTCTTTCCCACTCTGTCCCTTTAAAACAAAGAAACAAACATAAAAAAATTAAATAAAATAATTCTTTTATAAAAAAAGGAACAGGGACCAGCAGTTGGCGTCATGACTATGTCGCTGGACTCCCATGTAGTTGACCACGGTTCGAGTCCCGGACCCGGTGGCTTAAAAACTCACGCCGGGCGCGTGTGCGTGCGTGCCCAAGATCCCGAGAGGAGAATGGAGGAGAAGGGATTGCGGCGTGGCCATCCCCCCTGGGGAAGGCGATTTCTCGCTTTCTGTCTCCCTGTCTCTTTCTGTCTTTCTGGCGAGCACACATGCCCTATAGCAAAAAACAAAAACAAACAAAAAATGAAGATAAAAGCCAAAAAAGATACTGTCTATCCAGGGACAGAGGAAGTGGCCCGGATGAGCTCGAGCTCGAGGTTTCCCTGGGAACTGTTTGACCTTGGTTGTGGCCACGTGGGGCTCAAGGTCAGGGGCAAATTCAAGCGTGGCCTCAGGGTCTGACCTCCCGCTATGGCTTCTTTTGGAGAGGTCTCTTTTTTTTTTTTTTTT